GGGGGTCCTACCGGACCAGCCAGCGCCGCAACTTCATAACAATATAAGAGCAAAAGGGGGTGGCTGTTACCCCCTTCCCCAGCCCCCGAACATTGAGACAAAGTCCCCCTCCCCATCCCTGCCACGCCTCTAGGCACAAGTTGAGACTTACCCCCTCGCCCCTACCACCTTTACCCCTTTAAGGGAATGGAATAAGGGCATATGAGGTCGGCACGTGAGCGTGCTCCCGCTGTTTACCCCCTTTTCACTCGACCGTGCTAAAAGAAAAGTGCGCGGGGGGTGCGGTACGAAAATATTTTGTGGCGCCTGAAAATTTTAGCGACCGCTCTTCTTTAATTCACCATAGCCAAGGCAAAAGTTTTGGGCGGACGTCGGCCGGCCGCTACGTCGAGCGCCTGGCTCGTGTGGACGGAGTTATTGTATTTGCTTGCGCGGGCTGAGAAGTGAGACCGACAAGCTGTGAGAAGAAAGAGGGCCTCACACGTCGAACACTCCGCGTCGCACGTATCTTTCATTTCGAACACACGGTGGTTTGTTGGTCGCTCGCCAATCCGCCCTACCCGCTTCCCGCGGTGGCGAGCAGGTCCCCCGCTTGTCGCTACCCCCTCCACTCCCCCTCCACCCGACGCTAACGTGCCGATGTGTTAACCATCATTCTTTCCCCGATCGGACATTTCCCATGAATAAGAAAACCAAGAGGCACCAGCTAGCTAGCGCCACTCCACCCCACCCCCTTTTTCTCTCCCTACGGTCACCTGCTCCCGGCAGCAGCAGCGCCAGCCTGCCCGCCCCGGGCCACAGCCGGGGATACATGCCCTTCCCCACCACCCCTCCCTCAAAGGCTCCGCCTGGGCGTGTTTCAAAGAAGAAAAAATAGTGAGGCAAGTTTCAGAAGCGTCCAACGCAAAGCCCCCCCCCCTCCCCTACCCCCTCTTTTCCCAACCGTCTCTTATTTATTTTATTTGTTATTAAATTTGTGGAAACTGTTTCCGCCAGCAGCGACGCCACTTGACGGCTGCGCCCCGAAGGCGAAACGGGGGCGCCACAGCGGCATTACACACCAAAAGAAACAAGTTGGTGCGAGCGAATAACAAACAAAAAAAGAACAAAAAAAATATACCAAAAGGAGAATAAATATAGACATATAAAGGAAGCGAGATGTAAAAGAAATCTTTGGCGCCATTCGGCCGTGTTCCCACGCAGTGCGTGCCGCCGCCCCCCACCTTCACTTTTCAGAGCCACCGACTCTGGCCTGGGGCATTTTACCCGATAACGCGTCTCGCACAAAACGGGCGGGCGACAAGGCCGCACTTAAATTGTGCTAACCGAAGCGATTTTTTAAAAAAATATAAATCTTCGAAGGGTGTCCGTAAAGTTATGGTTTGAAACAGAACACCGACAGTGACAGTTAGCAATACCAAAGATTTATAAAGCAAAATCGATTTTAAAACCTAATCACTAGATCGATAATTTGTACAAAGAATGGCTCTTTGTGAGCATTCCATATTCCGCATGAGATTAAAGAGCGTACGACCACTTTCGTTGGTGATCGTCACTGATGATCAAGTCCAGCGCGTTGAAAGAAAATCAATGTCTTCTTTCGTGGTCGACAAGGCCAACGCACCTCCCCCACAGACTAAGAAGGGGCAGGGCAGACGAGCGGCCAAGCAGCAGTTCCATTTTCGCCAACTAGCATTTTCCCCGGCGGGTGTCCGACGCCCCACCCCCTCCCACAGCCGCCACCAACGGCAGCGCCTGCTGCTGCCCAAAGCGTTTCCGCCAACTCAGCAGCGGAAAAGAAGTCCGCAGTTGACTGCAATGCGAGCGGCAGCAGAGCGACGCGGCAACCCACGGCCGCCTCGAGGCACGCGCGACACAC